TGCAAAAGTTTTGCAGTTTACGGTGATGCTTTTGCATGGTACAGTCTTAGTCGCACACACATACACACCCATTACGGTGCAAATTGTTTACTGAGACTGAAAATCGGCAATCGGAACAATATGACCACAAAGCGGGTGTTAGCAGAAAGTGTTCTGTTGCAGTAGATGAATTCACTTCCAAAAATCATCAGGTGAGGTAGTTCAGGAGGGTGTCGTCGATTGGTACGGGATTCCAAAGTTTCGAGCTACATACCTTCAGGCCTTCAAAGAAGACTAAAAGATTGAGGCCTTATTCTAAATCAGGAAATGTTTCCCTGGAAGCACTTCTTATGAGCTCTCCGGGTAGGGACAGACTCGTTCTCTCCAATCTAACAAATTACCAAGGATCGTCGTCGCAAATGTGATTAGTATTGGGAGTAGCCATCCAGCGGGTCCAAATGAACAGGGGATCCGGTCACTAATTGAAGAGTGCGGTTCCTTTATTGACTTCATTTACAATTGCTGTACGCTTTTGAATGCCTCTTCGACCTTGACAGTAGTGTGCAATAGGATCCGAGGCATGGCCTCCTCGTCCTCAAAATATTTTGGTTGTAATGAAGTCATCTCGAAGAGGAATGGAAACAATTGAAGTGCAATATGCAACTTCGAGCCTATCTCGCGATAATTTCCACATGGGCAGCTCCCAAACAGGGTACCAGATTATGAGAATAAGCTGTAGCTTATTTCAAAACGTGATCGTTTTGTCCCATTCGTTCGGTTCTCTCAGAAGGGTCGTTCAATGGCTTCTTGCTACCAGACCTGCTTGCCGTTCTGATTTCTGAACCATAGAATACTACATTCACGTGAATGCCTACCGTTCAAGGGCTCAAACAGACAGACAGAGGTATGTCATTACAGCTGATATATGGTACGTAAGAGATAAGATCGAGAGTGCAACAGAAACGTACTAAAATTTTCGTTCATATTAGGATCTCTGCTCCACTAGTACGCTCTCCACTCAGTGCTTCTGAATTCACTGTGAAATAGACGGATTCAAAAGTGTCAAGGCGATGGTAGGTGTCATGGAAAAATTAGCGGAAACGCCGCTTTTCACTGAGAGGGATAGCTCGGTGATGGGAGAGTGGACGTAGAGTTGAAACAGTTGAATGTAAGCCACACCTTCAAACTCCCATTGAAGTATTTGAGTTACTGAAAAAGTATGGGAGTATGGAGTGTGTAAACACCTCAAGAAAAACAGCTTATTGTAAAGCTCGTATTTCTCCCTGGCGGAGTACGAAAACTATCCAGCTCGGTCACGTCAGAACCACGAGGTTTCTTAAGATACGAGTAAAGAAATGCTCATGTGACTTCAAACTTCAGGTTTGGTACTTTTTGAGGTTTCTAAGAAAGTAAACAAGGCAAACAGAAACTGCGCACGTGTCATTTTACTGTGCGTTTGACTGGAACTGCTGTGGTTTTTAGAATATCACCTGAACCCATCAGTAGTGATAATGATCACGTTCGCTTTTTCAAGAGTAGGTTCACTTTGGGGCCAGTTGTACTCCGCTAGGTTTGCTGTAACGGACCCTCAGGGATTCTTGGGTTTCTTAGGATCTTTTCCTTCTCGTTGCATCTAAGAATAGTGAGCGCTACCTGTTCTGGCTATAGATGCCTTTCAGCTGTTCCCTTATATATAAAAAGGTCAGCCGAAGTTGAATAAGATGTCTCACACTGATCAGCAGGGTCGACCAGTGTGAGACATCTCATCCAACTTCGGCTTTCCCACTTCAGGAAGAACAGAGGCATATTTAGGAGCACAGTACAGAGCTACAGAGCAGGGTGTCAGCTTTACTCTCAAAAAAACTAATTTAATTTGAAAAAGGTAATGACAACAATTTTGAGCGGACGAAAACGCTCCTACCGACGACTGCGCTCTGGGGCACTGGGACGACTCTTTCTCACTTCTGATATAGGCAGATTTATCATAACTCCCCATCGTAACTCCCGTCAAAGATCATTTATCAAGTTCGTGATGAACGAAGTTAATTGAAACAATGCCGACGATATCATGCTGATT